GACGCCAAGGGATGAGAAAAACTCACTTTGGGCCAGGTGAGCTAATAAAAAACTTTAGAAGCAAGACCATTATACGTACAGCGAACACAAACAATTATTAAATCAAAATGACATCAGGTACTCCGAAATGGGTTATTATAGTACTATGGGTCATATGCAATTCATGTTGAATTGCCCAATAGTCAGATTTAAAGATTATCAAGAGTTTAAGGAAGGAAATTTGTTGTTAAGTTTAACTTCGATAAAAAAAAAATGTTGTTACACATACTTAAAACAAAAAATTTTATTTCGTGATTGCGAAAAAAAAATGATGTCTTATACAAAAGTTGTTTTGGTATGATTGTGCAGCTAGGTTGCTGCCTTATTGATGGCTCTATAGAGAATCTATGTTAGTTAGTACCTTTATTCAACATATAACTAGACGAAAATAAATCGGTAATACATGAACGTTTCTTAACACGTTTTAATGATTAAGTATACGTATTTTTTCACTTTTTTAATTATAAAACTTTTAAATTTTCACATTTAAGTTAGATTTTAGGCTTCTTGCACTTTTCATGTGTGCAAGTTTAATTTTTCATAATCACGTGTTAGCCTTGAAAAAAACAAATATCTTTTTTGTTGAATTAACACTTGTCTTTATTAATACTAAACATGTATATATGAGTGAAAACATATTTGTCTTGTTCACAGGTACTTATATTATGATATAAAATAGTAATGTTAACATGGTAATGTTTCGACATTTGTACAAGTTTGATGTACTAACGCTTCATTTACATTGTCCATGTAACGTGATTGAGATATATCCGGGGTCATGAATTGATGAGGCCAGAAAAAGGTTATTAATTAACAGATCACTTTTTACATTTTTCGGTGAATGATTATTTTGTCTTTGAAATTCAACTACACCAACATAAAATGTTTTGTTTGTTTGGTTTTTGAATTCAGATCACTAGGGGATTTTACTTAAAGATTTTTGTTTCCTCATTTTATTTGTTGCGTATATCGATGACTAATCATCCTGTGGTAAACCCCTACTTTTGACAAATGTACCCATGCTATGGACATTGTGGGTGTATGTTATGTAATTTTCCAGAATGATTAATAATCCTTATATTCCCCGCTTTTTCTTTTGATTATACAGATATCACATGTTCTTGTAATTATAAAGAAAAAAAACTGTGATTTATCTATATCTTTGCAGGACTATTTTACATTGGATGTTTAAATTTAGTTTGTCTGACGAGTAAATGAAAATAATTTCAACATTGCAAATAGTTTTGTTGGTGATGGCAGTCGGAGTTATTTTCATGAATCAACATATTTCAATCTTCATGTCAGACTGATTTCCATTGTGAAAACACCAGTTATGAGAGGAATTTAAACTTCTAATACAATTACAACTTCCTTTATTTGCATAATTTCCTAATAAGTCAATAATTCTATGAATATTCATAAGTGCTAATTAAATCGTGTTATATCTTATGATTTATTAAATAAAAAGAACTATTATATTTGATCATAAAAAGACAGTTTTAATTATATTTCATTTAATACAAGCTCAAGGTTATGTTTCTATATCACAAAAAGCAATAGGATGTTGTTACGTTTCACCCGAAACTGATAATTAGTATGTTTGTTTGTTTGTTTGTTTACGGGAGTTTAAACTTTCAATGTTTTTTGGTACTATAAGTTGGCTTTAATAACTTTTAGTAGTGAGCATACACGACGACGAGTTTTCGTTAAACACTTGTTTAGCGCACTGACAATAAATTACAAACCCTCTATAAAACTGTAGATCGAGTACACCTTGCTATGACGCAGATGGTTGAATAAGACTCAACCCCCTTATTCAGAATGAAAAATGAATATTAACTTTGCCTTGTATAAGACCGGAGCATTGAGTCGGAGTTTGACTTGCTAGTCACAAGGTAGAATGTAATAGTCCACAGTAAGACATTTAACCCTACCGAGACAGATTGGACTCCAGGTTGACTAGCTGTTGCATTTGCTCCTAAACAGCAAATGCCACAGAGAAAGTAAATTAGAATACTATTATCCATATCTTTGTAAAACAGTCATTCATAAACACAAAACAAACAAAAAAGTTGAAGATATAAATATTGACCTTCGTTTTAAAGCAAAAATGTAAAATCTATCATCTTTTAATTACATAGCAATTAATATCCAATTATAGATCTAAACGTGCGACATGTCGCTGTTGATACACTAATGGTAACATCTATAAGTAAATAAAGTTATTTCTATACGCAAATTAATATATACTCACGTATGATGTTAATATAACTATTTCATTATCTGCATCGAAGACTTTTCGTTTTCGTATGATAATTCAATCCCACTTCGTTATATACTACTAATATTAATTCAGTCAAAGAACAATTGGTCTGTGTACTTTAAAAATTGTTAATATAAGTATTGCATTATCTACATCGGAGACTTTTCGTTTTCGTACTATGTTAATTCAATCCCACTTCGTTATATACTGTGATATTAATTCAGTCAACGAATAGTGGGTCCGTGTACTTTACAGATCGATAAATTAAAAACAAAAAAAGTTGAATCATTTTATAACAATATCAATCTATAAATCAATCAGTTTAAGAGCATACAAGTTATTATGTCATGATTGTAGATTTTCATAAAACATTTTAATGCAGATTTTGATGCGCAATATTTGTCAAACTTGAAAAGATTCTTATGTCAGAGTTCGGATTTCTGTTTCCGATGTACGTACTGTTGCGTTTTTTGCATTTTATTTTATTTTTGATTTTGTGCCTTTTAGTATGATAGCGTAAATACTTTCTATTGTAATTTCAGTTTTACATTTTTATTTACGAAATTTATTGTTATAAATGGTACAAACATTCTGTATGTTTAAAGTAGACATCTCAATAAAGACGGGATTATTGCAATAAATATGGCAATATATACGTCACCGATTATCGTTACGTCGTAATAATCATGTGATATTGTTTTATTACAAATGTTCATGAGGCTTTACACAAAAGATCTCGGTTCAATCCCAACCTTAAAAGCTCATGAAAATAAACAAGTGCATTCCTGACCTATATTTATTTATTCTAATTGTTGAATCGTCTCGTTAAATGACTGGAAAAGTGTTTACAATAGCCATGAAATGTGTTGTAAAACTTAAACAATATACATACCAAAACTGAGAGGCAAATACGTGCCAAAGTGGATTATAAATATGGCCTGAATGAAATCCATGATAAATTGAAAAGTAAGTAAAAATGCAATGTCAAGGTACTTGCACTTAGATTTTGGCTTATCGTAGGTCACGTTGGTCAGACCTTTCAAGAAAAGGAGCAGTTCACGAAATGTTGCGTTGGCATGCCTCTTTTTATGTATTAATTGATTCTTACTGTACTGTTATTTGTACTCGCCTCAAGAAAGACATGGAACTTTTTTCGGGGGAAAGGGGGATACGTGGGTAGAGAAGGGGGCTAGTATTGTTTGATAAGTTAGACCGTTCAAACGTTCTCTAATTCTCTATGCAAAAGACTGCATTAAAATATTATAATGCACTTTTATAAGAAAACTGATTTCAGTAAGATATTGATACAATTTTGTTCCCTCAGTCTATATCAGACGAAGTATCGGAAAACATTTTTATTGGCCCTCACGTGCTTGTGAAGTATAATTACCAGTCAGTGGCTTATTAAGCATCTTAGCTATGATTACAAGAGGCCAATAATCGATTGATTGATATTTATGTACCGTTTCAGAAAATAATGCGCTGTTGGTAAAATTTTCAAAAGCGTACACTAAAACGTGCGATTCCAATGGCGTAACGTTATTTTGGTGTACAGTGAAATTACCCATAGTCCTTTAGATTCCGAAACGGCGAATTAGTACATCTACATTTATCTTAAGGTGGTACCTAACACTACAGGGAGATAACTCTGTAAAAATCAGCTAAACGTTTTAATTATGTTGTATTGTTAAGGAAATATTAAGCTTCTCAATGATCAAAATTGGTGTTTGTCAAACTGCTATATAACCAATGAAATTTTTCTGATAAAGTGGTTGGTTCAAATTTTTTGAAATTTTTATATTTTTGTCAAAGGGTCAAAGTAAACATTTGGTCAAAATTTTATGAAAATTAAACGAGCCAAATTAATATTAGTCAAGGTGTTGGGTACCACCTTAAATTGAATTAATAAATGTGTCAAGTTAATTTATTCCATTTTATCAAATAACAAGTTTTAAAAAAGAAGAAAACAAATATGTTTTATGCAACTTTTGTATTGACGGATATTGAAAGTTGAGTAAAACATACAATAACAATTGCCAAACATGAAATCCATTTAAATACATTTACATCTTTTGTTTATAATTAGAGTTATTTTTGGAAGAATGTACAAAGTTAATTAGCACATAAAATTTACTACAGTACGTGTTCATATATAGAACTGTGCATGACAATTAGATAAAGAATATTTGCCAATTTATCACATCTCAATATTCATACAATAATTATTTCAATAAATTATTTAATTAAACACTATTGCAAGAGTAACAAAAATACAAGCATGCTCAAACATGGTGCTTGGATACATTTCTTTCAATTTTGCTTTTGACTAACTAAATCAGTAATTTTGGCAAAAATTAGATGGAAACATTACGTGTCAAAAGATATGTAAGATATCTGCTTTATTTTGCATTGTTCTCCTTTTTTTTGTACCATCAACCAACCTTCAATTTTACAAGAATATCACTTTACTTTTTACAATTTGTTTACGAGCTACAGTAACTGTTTTTCTAAAGGTTAATATTTACTTTCAGAAATTATTACAATTGATTTCGTTCACGTTGACAAGATGACTAGAAAACATAAATAACTTATTGTCGTGTTTTCCCCATAAACTATGTATACTTCATAAATAAATATTTACTTTTAGAAAAAAAAACTCCGGAAATGTCAAGTTTTTAAAATAAGAGAAAGGACTTACTATTCCTAAAAAAATATCCAACGTTCATTCAAGACACCATGGTTCGACTAAAGAAAAACGTATAGATTTTTCATCATAAATTACCTATCATTGAGCATTGGACCGTGACAATATCTGATCATTACATGGGAAAATATATATATATCATCAAAACAATATATAAACGTGAATCGAGGTGTTACTTGTTTCAGTGGGGCTTTCCCCTTTCCCTGTTAATCTTGAACTTATACATGCAGTTGTTCTACGTGATGAAATTACGCTGAGCAGACGAGTACTCGGTTGTTTTTCTTGCAAAGAAAATATTAGTAGTACGCATGTCCATTTACCCTGTTGTAAGTACATGTAGTTCCTTTTATGAGAAGTGGAAATTTAACAATTCTTAACTAAAAGTACTATACCTGAAGATAAATCATGACACGATTTTATTCTGTTATTAAAAGGGATTCAAAGGGAATTTTCAGTCTTTCCTACATCTTATATTCTTCTTAAAAAGGAACTACAGTGGCTTCAATTATTCAAATAAAATTAGGAGTCAAAATAATTTGTAACGTTTTTTCTGAATTCTGAAAACATGAGCATTTGCCAAATAATGTTTTTACTCCTTTCCCCTCACATACACACACATCCCGCACATAAACATACAGACAGGAAAATATCAAAATAATTTACGTTTTTTCTGAATTCCGAAAAACATGAGCATTTACCAAATAATGTTTTTACTCCTTTCCCCTCACATACACACACATCCCGCACATACACATAAAGACAGGAAATTATCAAAATAATTTATAACGTTTTTTTCTGAATTCTGAAAACATGAGCATTTACCAAATAATGTTTTACTCCTTTCACCTCACATACACACACATCCCGCACATATACATACATACAGGAAATGACCAAAAGTCAGTAAAAAGGGGTTTTTATTTGTTTGATAATTTTGAAAGAAGGTCATAATTACATAACAACATCCAAAATATCAATTTTATTGAGCGTTTTCACACATCCTCATGTGCGTTAAAATTTGCACATTATGACGCACTTCATATTTTATTTTGCAGATTAAAGATCATTGTCTTCATTATGTTGTTCATGTGTATTCCCGTGTTATTGCACCTAAAAGTTCAATGATTCTTCAGTGTTATCATGTGCGTCATACATATTTTTAAAAGTTGATGAAGTACGCGTTTTTTTATTTTATTTATAAAGGCAGCTCGACACTAGAAACCCGTTTAACCAACTGAGCTTCTTACTGAAGTTACTTTGAAATTTTTAGTCGGTGTCACATGTTTAAAAATGTATGTGCAAACAATACAAAAAATTCTTGAAAAATTTAGTATTATAATCTTATTTATGTAATTACTTATACCATCTCGACTCCTTCATAAGACATGTGTAGGACTCGGAGGTGCGATTGGGATGCTGAAGTGCGATGGTCACGCTGAAGTGCGATGGTCTGCGCCGAAGTGCGATGGTCCGTTCGCTGATGTGCGATGGTCTTTACCATAATTTTATAGATAATTTGATCTAGTGATATGGTTTTTATGAACCATATCACTAGATCAAATTATCTTAAATGTGTACAATTCAATGAGAGATTCTTTATCAGATTATCACTACATTCCTAGTCGATCCCCTGTGCATAGCTTATTAAAATTTATGTTAATTTGTTTTAGTTTTTAATGTTCATGCAATATTTACTACTCGAACTTAAACATGCAAATTAATCAATCAATCTACTTGAAATGAAAAAAAAATCGGTCTATCTAGATAGTTATTGTCCCCTGCAACGATAGCCTAGTTTCTCCCTTGCAACATACGGGTATCTGAGTCATCCTTGTTGTCAATCTGTTAGAGCCTAACAGACAAAGAACACCTATCCTATCTAATGACAACAATCAACCAGTGTTATTGAAAATGAACTGCAACAAAAATGTTTCGCCAAGCATTTTTATCGCTATTGACTTTCAGGTGTGCTATCGGGCTCGATGCATGTGGCTCATTCGGTTACAGGATAAACGCGTTTCCTTAATAACCTTCAAATGATGATGATGATGGATGGCTGCTTAACGTAGCAAATTGATTTGCGTATTCAGGACGACAACATGTTAATGTAATATGGATATTAACCCTGCTTTGTGCTAGACCGACACGCTGAGCCGGATTTTTAACGTGCTAGTTCAACAAGGTAACAGTCCGCAAGGAAGACGTGTCACCTTACCCGGACACATTATTCTGACTCCGAGCCGACATGTCGTCTTTGCTCTTACTCCTTAATGCCGCGTGCTTAGCGGAGAACCAGCAAATATCAATTTTAAAGTCTTTGGCTTTACCCGTCAGGGTTCGAACCCACGACCTCCCGCACTCCAGGCGAACACGCTACCACGAGACCACCGAGGCGGTATAAATAACCTACAGCAGCTAGGTGCCCTTGAGATTGAAAGTCATACGCATTTAATGTTTATGAGCAGTTTAAACCAAATGGGTCTTACAGACGACAACTACCAACTGAACGATACTGAATAATATGCATGAAAGAATACTCTCATTTACTGAAAGCTACCTCAAAATATATTATGCGCTCAACTTTTTCGAGACTCATGGCTTATTTTGATGATCTTTTATTGCTGTAAGAGTTAAATGGTTTGTGATTTTCCAGTAAAGAGAAAGACGAAATTGCGCAAAATAACAGGATAAAATCATTGATATAAAAATTAAGAGATGTGGTATGATTGCCAGCTCTCTACCAGCGACAAAATGACGTAGAAGTTAACAACTATACGTCACCGTACGGCCTTCAACAATGCACAAATCCCATACCGAAAAGCAACCTATAAAAGCTCCAGAAATTTATTTTATCTTGCAAATATTTCATAAACAAGAGGTGTTAACTGCATTGTAAAATGTCATTCTGGACTTCCCGCTCTTTTAAAAACTGTAATGTGAAATATTTACCTTATTTAATGACTTGCGGCGGTAGATAGTTAACATTTTTAAACCACTGCTATCAAAATAGAAAGAATAAACTTGTGAAAAGCGATATATAAAACAAATTTGTTTTTTTTTAACAATTTAATCACACATTTACTGTTATCAATTTACCTAATCTAAAGCTTCAATTAAATATCCCTATATATGAGTTTTTAAAAAAACTACTCCCAGGAACTTCATCCATCGTGTATTATTACTTTACAGAGCCGCCTTCGTGGATTCTTGCGCCTAAAGTGCGGAAGGTCGTAGTTTGATCACCGGTAAGGTCACTCAAACGACATGAAAACTTGTTTTCAAGTGTAGAAGCAAAGACTGGTCGGCTCAGAGTCAAAAAAATGTGTCCGAGAAGGGTTAATTGTCTTCCTATGGACTGTTATCTCGTGAACTAACACGTTAAAAATACGTCTCAACATGTCGGTCAAGAACAAAGCAAGGTTTGTATTCATATCACATTAATATTTTCTCGTCCTGTTGTCCTGGTAGGGTGACAGGTCTTTCTGTGGTCAGTGACTTTATGAACTAGCACTCTAAAAATATTGATCAATATATGTCGGTCAAGAAAAAAGCAGGATTCATATTTATATTACATTAACATTTTCTCGTCCTGGAATGCATGTAAAATTAACCAGCAGACGTTAAACAACTATACACCCATCCAGCCTTACTGAGATCAACGCACAGATCGAAAGGTCAACGAACAGATCGAAAGGTCAACCTAATAATTAGTGTACTGTTTAAGTTTCTTTTTTATAACTGTTTAACAAGTCCATGAACAATAATAGTTCCGAATTTATAGTTTAAAGTATATAAATCAATTTAAAACCTATAGCTCATATATTAGACATCTATTTTTCAATTTCCGACACATTATTAAATTATTTATATTGTTGTATACACATTAAGCGCAATTCGACACATACTGTGTCTACTGCTTACATTTTTATGTTTTCTTATGAACATTTATTGCGTTTTTTGGTTTGTTTAAATAGTTCATGAGGTACTACCATTATTGTTTAAGGTAACTAAGGCAATATGTCCACAGCGAATTGAAATGTATGACAGACTTTCAAATATAATCAGCCATTAAAATCAAATTCGTGATCGGAATATTGAAACAAGGTTACCACATAAAAGTTTATGGCTTAATGTAAAGTTTTTGACAGTCACAGATCAACTGTAGTTTTTTTTTTTAGAATTCTTAACGCATATCTTATATTAAAATGACGGCTTTTGTAATAATTGAATATAAAATTGTTAAATGAACAGGTAAAACTGACGAAAATCATAAAATTGGTATCATTTTGTCGATATATAATTTATATTTCTAAATATTCATTAAGTCAAAAAAGTTTTTTGGTATACTATCATTAAATAAACGAAAGTACATGCTTTTCGATAATGTCTTTCAAACTTTGAATGAATTAATACTAATGTAAATGATTTAACAGATTTTCAAAAAACGAATATGATATCAGATGTACCAGAATGTAAATTGGATAAAAGAGAAGGGAAATTCCGACAATTGTTTTAAATAATTGCCAAGTAATAAAAATCTTCATCATCGTCGTCGTCATTGTCATCGTCAGGGTCGTCATTGTCATCGTCATCGTCCTCCTCCTCATCATCATCCCATTTCCTCCTCCTCCTCCTCCTCCTCCTCCTCCTCCTCCTCCTCTCATCATCATCATCATCATCATCTAGTTTATTCATGAATAATGAAAAAAAAAATCGTGGCATCAAATCTGCATGTCATGTGACATCATGGGTTAAAAGAAATGTTTTTAATTTTGCATTAACTCAAGTTTAAAACAGACATAATTTGAAATCTTAAATTAAAAATTCAGTTTTCAGTATAGAGGTTAGGCCAAATAAAGCCCTTATTACACCTTGTCCGTTGTTGTACAAATCTAGAACTGTAAAGTTATGGTACAATAATTAAGATGTACTATTTCATTTAGGTTCATTTTCAGTGCGGTAAAGTCATAGTACTATATAATAAAGTACACGTACAAAAGTATTATCCTTTTTTTTTATTTTACAGTACATT